GTGTGATTAGGTCTACTCTGGGGTTGGATTCGTCAAACAATATATTGATCTGAGATGAAGATACACAGCTCAAACACCTGAACAATCCACATTCAACAATGAGGGAATTTGGGTTCGTCACCTTGGAGGAGAAGAAGAAGATGAAGCATGAAGCATTTATAGTGCTTCCAACCTCCAACGACAAACCTCCTCTCGCGATAAGAGGATTCACTTTACTCTTCCTTCTCTAATCTCAGCATTTCACTCACTTCATAAAACCAGCTTCAATCTTGCATAACCTGTTCATTCAATTCCCGGTTCAGACATCAAACAAACGTCTTCACTTGAAATTGAATCACACACACTGATCATATCAACAAGCTATATTAAAGGTGATCGAACGAGCTGATATAGCTTAAATAAACAAAAACTAACAAAGAGAAGACTAAAGTAAAGTATTGCCTTAAAACTAACAACTACTTCGTGGTCTAGTTTCTTATTGCCTTATTTGAAATAACTACCACTACTTTTTTTTCTTCACAAGTAAAGTATTTAATTCAAGGTATTGTATTTGTACCCTGGACTAGATTCTGCAATGATTCTACAAACTTATCAGTGTAACCGGTTAATAATCCAGGAGTAACTAGAATCTTCTTCAATTTGGCATGGTTCTTCCTCACCAGATTCCCTAACTCGCTATCTTTGTCCATCACAGATGTGATCGCAACACTCAAGCTCTCCTTGGAGAACCATCCTGTATCTTCTCTTTGCACTTCCACGGAAACCTCTAGTTCCTCGGTCATCAATCTTGTGTTGAGAACTTGATCAGCCAAATATGGAAGCAAGACTATTTGGCAATCACTCATTAGAGACTCCCACATTGAACCGAATCCGCAATGGCTTACAAAGCAACCAACTGATGGATGAGCTAATATCAATGGTTGCTGCACCCACTCTCCCCAAACCACTCCACGACNTTTCACCCTCTCCGCAAACCCTTCTGGTAANGNTTCTNGAATCGTCTTTGNTCCTTTTGGTGGCTTTACTGCTACAAAAAACGGTANACCTGTGAGCTCCATNCCTAAACAGAGTTCTTGGAATTGGTCTTTCTCTAGAGTGATTTGACTTCCCATTGCACAGTACACTACAGAGTCTTGTCCAAACCCGCTCAGCCAGTGACTCCATTGATCTTCAAGTGGCTTAGTACTCTTTTCTGGCTCAGGAAGCATTGGACCCGTCAAGAGAACCTTCTTCTGGTATTGATGCTCGATATAGTCGCAGAATTTACCTTCGACTTCTTCGCATGTCCTAATGGAAATGACATCGCAGTTCGTAAGTCCTGTGGTGAGCCGGTGATAAACCCTCTTGTAGAAGATGGAAAAGGACAACAAGGTATGAGCATCGTGTGCGCGGTACAACACCTTTGATGAAGGATAACCAGGTGGAGGAACTCCTAGCTCACCACCAGGGACAAGGTCATGAGCTATAGTGGTAGCGGAAATCACGTTGTACATCATACTCTTGACTTTATGTTCTTTAGCTATTTCCGGAACCCAATAAGCAAAATCAAACAAGATCAGGTCCGGTCTCAAAGCACGAACCGCGGTTTCGACCTGATCACGAGTGAGATCCATGGCTGCGGACAGGAACTTCCCCAACGAGATGGGGATATCCGAGGCGGTCTCGGCGCCAGCAGGGAGGCCATCAACAGGAGGGATAGTAAGAGGGTAAAAGACGATGCTCTCTGGGAACAGATTGTGATGTTCCAACTGTTTTTGAGCTTTCTTAGGCAGCAAAACTGTAACCCTATGGCCCTTTTCAGCTAACTTGTTGGCTAGATGTAAGTACGGAGTCATATGACCAAAAGCGAACCATGGGAACATAAAAGCGTGAAACTTTGACCCCATTTCTTTTCCCAAATTGTCGAAACAAGCAGAGCAACAAAATATAAAGCTGCCAAAGAGAGGAAAAACAGGTTTTTGTTTATTCTTCTTTTTGTTGTGTTTCAAATCATAAGCATCTTTGCTTTTCTTCTTTTTTTTGCTTAAATTAAATGTTTCTGTGATTGAAATAGCCCCTATAATTAGCTTGGATAATCTGCTTGTCAAAATGTGTAGAAGGTGGTTTAGTTAATTATTGGTTGGGGTTAGTGGGGAAGTAGTGAATGGCATGTGCCATTAATCGTCTTTTGTCCCTTATTAGAAAGCTGTTTTTTAAAATTTAAAAAAATCGATATTGTATAGAAAAAGGCTCTCAAAATGTCATTTTGTGACTTTTTTTCTAAACAGCTGAGTTACTTTATTAGTGAAACAAAAAATTGTTTGATAACTCAAAACAGAGTCACCAAATCAAAAACAGAGCCAAAAACCAGGACTCGAACATAAATAAAAGAAACAACATAAATCTCAAAATCCATCGAAAATGGAGAAAAAGAGGTTACAATCTTGGTTTTCGGAGAATTCGATCGTTTAACCCAGTCAGACCTCCCATGGCTAGATAAGAGTTGAACCGTCCATCCCGTATAGCACTTGATGAAATAGCACGAGCAATAGAGTTGGCTCCAACCGATTCAATTTCAAACATACAAGAAGCAAAGCATGATCTAAGCAGGTGGATTTTATTAAGCAGAACCCGGTACCGAGACCATTCTGAGATTTTATTGAATGCTGTAAAAGCCGCTTGGCAATCTAGACCAATCACCACATTCGAGAATCGCAAATCTCGTAGACTTTGTAGAACCCATATCACACAACGTAGCTCTTACACAATTTGCAGACTTTGCTAATTAATATGAAAAAAAGTTTGCACGCCGAAAACGGAAATTTCACATGTTACCTAAATGGATGGAGAAAGACGTAAAGTTTTAAAGATATCAAAATCTCTGTTAACATTTTTGTTATATTTAGTGACTGAAAATTTGAAATGTATTGTAAACGGTCATTTTATTATTGGTGACCACGTTTGAATATATCGGTTGAAAGTTTTTGAATGGTTGAACAGAATGTCGTTTGAAATAAGACGGTTAGAAATAGTAATTAGGAGAGAGGGAAAGGGTGGCGATGACTGTTAGTTAAAAGATTTGCTTTAGAATAAATAATTAAGTTAAAAGTTTGAAAAAAAACCAAAAAACTGAAAATTTTAAAATAGGAACATGTAAAAACAATTGTGGAGGTTTTTTATACATGCATGCATTTTCGTTTGAACGGAAAAATTGCGGTTTTAAGCTACCAAAATGGGGTGGCGTTGACTGTTAGTCATCTTAACATCCTGTGAACTTTACATTTAGAGATTCGCTTTTGAAAAATAATTCAGTTATAAGTTTGTAAAACCATTTTTTTTTTTTTTGGAAACTTAAAAAACCAAAAAATTGAAAATTTAAATTAGAAAAAAATGAAAAACATAAAATTGTGGAGGTATTTATACTGAATTTCCCTAAAGAAAATAACTATAGTTTTCAATGTTCTCATGAAATGATTCTTGATCGATGCATCACGCATTCTGGTTTGAATGAAAAAAACTTGCGGTTTTAGATACCAAAATGTAGAATTTCGCTTCCATCTCATAGTATGATATCATAATGAAATCAACTTGTTACATGTCTGTCTGTGATTGAGAAAGAGCGAGCTGGGGAATCTAAGCTGCATGTAAATTTTACAAAGACACGTGTGGCAAACAAGACACTAGCAAAACCAGAACTATGTAATAACACGTAGAAGCGTACACAATCTGTCACATATGAAATTGATGACCACACTATTTTCGGCGGAAAGAACTAGTGTTTCTCAATGTCAAGAGCCGTAGAATGTGGTAAAGAGTTTCTTGTGTATTAAGTTTGAAGGGAATACTTTTATATAGCGGTTACAACATTAATCTA